AGCACAAGCACAAGAACAACAACAAACTAACGGGTAATAAGCAACAACAGCACTGTAATGAAGCTATCAACCGTAAGATGGCGCTTAGGCACGCAATCATACTTTGGGGTCGAGCAATGGGGCTGGCAAATGGAGGCAAGACCTAGCCCTAGCACAGGCCAAGGCAGCTGTGTGTGTTCCGCGATTGCTATTCGCAGCAATTTCACCAAAACGAAATGAGACTGGAGCTAACTCAGTTAAGAGTGAAATCAATTTATATTAAATTGAAATTTTTGCTGACAATGGAAATTCCTTTAGCCGTAGATGCTGCGCAGTTCGCTGCGATTTGGCTTTAAGGAACACAGTGGAAATATCAACTGGTCCGCTCGTTATCGTCGCTTGCGCCACATCACGCTATGTTCAACACTCGCGATGCGGCATACACGGCGTATGTTTAATATTTCCGCAGCAACTATGCGCATATTCATTTTGACGACGCTTTGACGTCGCCATCGTCAACGCGGTACGTTGACCGCTGGGAACCCGAAGCTGTTGCTACATTAGCGCTGCTGTCATGCATGTTGCCCGTGCCTGCCACTGCCCCTGCCCCTGCCCCCGCCCACGGCACATCGCATGTCCCGTACGCTAACTCGTATACCCCGTGGTTGTGACCTAAATTTGCAGTTTATGAAAAATATATGTGTAATATAAAATGTAGTCGCTGCATGCATAAAACAAAAAGTACGCAATCCCGCTACCGCTCCCGCACCCGATTCATATTTATATTTACACAAGCATAAAGTATATAGAAAAAAAAACTAACGCTGGACGAGTTTATAAAGCGTGTGTGTGTTTTTTTAGTCGAGCGCCAAATGACGACAGTAATGGCGGTGGCGAAAGCGGAAATGCCCCCAAGCTGCACTGGCAACATCACAGAGAAATCACATTGCGTATACGTCATGTGGCACAAAGGCATGCATCTAGCAGTTAAGGGCGGGGCCACCTTCACCTAATGCACTTTTCCCCACTGATTGGCGTGTGGCAAAGTATTTTGGTAAGCATTGCGACATATTCTAACTTGTCAAATTAAAAGCGGTTTTAGCTGCAAGAAACTAAGCTAAAATTTACTTTAAGCAAACTCGACTGAACAGAGAGCATATTAAATGTTTACTAATCTTGTGGCCTTTGAGCAGTGGCTTCTTGTGTAACCATTCGGCTGCTAGTTAAGAGAGAGTATCTGGGAAGCAGCAGCTGACAGGCAGCCTATGAGGCGTATGCGTAATTTATATGAAATACATCAAAGCACAATTGTTGAGTGGCAAAGGCTGTGGGGCGTTGATGTGGCAATGAACGTTTAACACTTCATTAAAAGCCATTCAGCAAAGTTGTAGACAATTAAAGACAAGCGATGGCACTTAACACATTCCCAATGTTCATTGACCGGCAAACGAAATAAAAATTGCAACAGCTACTTCAGTGCGAATGCTTCATTAAACAGCAACAACATCAACAGCAGCAACAACAACAAAAGCAATATGTACAAGGGCAATAGACAAAGTTCCCGGGCCACAAATTACACTTGGCTTGGCACAGCACAAAATGGCGTAAAAATTGCAGCTGCTTCTACCAGGAAAATATTATTGAATGTGTGTGTGTGTGTGTGTGTGTGTCTGTGCTAGTGTATGTGCTTGCCTTGTGCCTGCTGCCTGATGCTTTCTGTATTTTTTATGATGCTTGAAAATAAATAAACACTCAATACCCAATGCCAAAGAGCAGACGGAGCAGAACTTACAGCAGCCACAGACAGCAGCGACAGCAGCGACAGCAGCAGAGGCGGCAAACGCGCACATTCAATAAATCTTCAGGCTTCTGAATAGTCACTTGAGACGCGCCCGTGGGAGAGGGAGCAAAGAGCTCAGAGGAGAGCTGCTACGATTTGAGCGGCTTTCATTTTCATTCCATAATGGCAATAATCGCGTGCCCAACTCCATAATGATGCTGATGATGTTGATAATGCTGCTCGAGTGTGTGAAAAACGCAGCTTGCACGTCGTCGTAGCGGATGTCTGTTTGGGCCTCTAATAGTCTCACATGCTCCGCAGCACAATACATAACTCAGAGTCAGAGTTAGAGCTGAGCAGCAGCAGAGCCGGGACCAGAGCCAGAGCCAATGGCAAGGCCAATTCTGGCGGCGCTCTGCACTTGAAAGCCAGAGACGCAAAGACGCTAGCAAATAAACAAAGCAAACAAAATCCTCGCAAAGTACAACAGAGTGTAGGAACTGCTGGAGCAACGCAAACGTAAATCAAACGGGGCGGGACAGCGCTGCAAATATTCAATCTATAATGGCATTTACACGACTAGCAACAGGATATGTAATATCCTTTTTTGGGGCCTGAAATTTGTAAACTCGTTTGCCAGCCGACACAGCCCACTTGCCTATGGCCAAACTTATTTTGAAATAAATATGGCGCTGGCCTTTTTACCAGGCGCCATAAATCTCAACAATTTCCGTTGTCTGCCGTGGTAGGGGTCACCCAGCCAGCAGCTAGCAGCTAGCTAGTTGGCTTAGTGCGATCCGTCCATGGATTTGGCATTACAATTTATGCACACGGGATGTGCCTGTAACTCTTTGCTCTGCTTTATTTACTACTCGCATTTCATGTGGTAGGGAAACCTTTTCTTCTACCCTTCGGCATATGCAAAAAATCTTGTTAATGGATTTTGTGCAAAGTGAACTTCGCTGGCCAAAAAAAGGCCAAAGTTAAAGTTCAAATGAAACTCAGAAGCGGAAACAAATTTAGATCAATATTTTAGTAGAGAGTTTGTGGAATCTTTTAGTTGAAAGTATATAAAAATATTGCAAAGAACTTCATTATGTGTTAGAAGAATTAAGATTTAAGTACAGTTTATTGTCTTCAGTCAAGTCTGTCTATTCGATAGGCTTGAGTGTGCGCTGTGCCTGTGGGCAATCACATACCAAAATTTTGACAACTTGAACTCAACTTTATGCCGAAAGCTGGCCAAATTTGCAAGCTCAGCGCTGAGGCAGCACGAAATGGAGCCACACTTTCTTTTTGCCGTCATCTTACTATGCCCCTTCACACTCGCTCTGTAACACTTACCACAGTTGCCCTTCTGTCTGGCTGTGAGAGCTGCTCTATCTGCTCGTTGCTCGTCTGTCACACAGTGTGTCACATAATATGGACAATCACTAACCACGCAAGTGTCAAACAAACAAAACGAGCGCAAAGCATTCGCATCCGCATCCGCAGCCGCATCCGCACCCGCACATGGTCACCCCATTTGCCAGGCTGGCAAAAATTTGCAAGCAAATCCTATTTTCTCATAAGGGGTGCACTCACTCAGAGGCAGACCTCGAGGAGGAGTCAGAGAATCAGACGAAATGAACCACATTCGAGTGCTGCGGGCGGTTCGATATTTTTTTTGGCGCTACTCCTTCACAGGAGTCATGTGCATGTGTGTGGCCATCTAAGGCGAAGAGAGGGTGCGGGCCCAGCCAGCTGCTGTTGCTGCTGTGCACACATCAATCTCGCCCTAACTTTTCCAGATACGAATCTTTCATTTTCGTATTTCCGTTCAAATTTCGTGTAACTGAACTGGAACTTTGGAATGAAAAACTGAATCTTTCTGCTCGTTTTTTACTACTCTCCGACAGACAGTTGGTTGCTGGGGCAACGCAGACTCGATTGGCCATGGTGCCGCATTTTAATGCTGCCCCCAAAATACACTCGCGTGTCGCAAAAGCAAGCGCCGAAGCTACACTTTAAGAGTTTGCGCTCAGCTCAGCTCAAAAGTACGTAAAAGTCAATAAGCATTTCTCACATAACAGACTTATATATATTATATAATGAGTTCTCTGCCCAATCTAATTGTTTCTGCACATTTTCACCTAACAAGTCTGCGTAGTGGGCGTCTGTCTGATAGTGCTTGACTCGCTCTCTACGACTTAAAATTTAAATTTCTTCATTTGCTCGCAAGTTCAAGCGCCAAGTCTAATATATTTTTTTCAGCTTACCAATGTGCGCGAGTGTTTGTGTATTTGTGTGTTTGTGTGTGCTTGTGTCTGTGTAATGCACAAAAATTCAGGTCATGTGCGACCAAAAGTAAGTGGATGCGTTCTTATCAGCGCATACAAATGTTTTATCTCGCTCGGCGCGTGTGCAAGGCATCCTTTTCTGTGGCCTGTCTGCCCGTTCGTCTGTTGGCCCAACCAAAATCGATCAGGAGCGCACTGATATAGTTAGCTGAAGGCTTCTGAAACTCAGCCAAATTCTGCTCAACAGATGCTCTATATAGACTCTGTCCATGCAGCTTAAAGCTGCAACACAACTGCATTTTATGAATTTTGTGCTAGCTTCAAGTTTGTTGTGTAATCATATAAAATATTAATGCATTCCAAACTAATTAAATTTATTTTATTAATGCTCAAAATATTTTTTTTTGCTGCTGTTGCTGTCTAATCCGCTCCTGGCTGATTTGCTTGGTTGGCTGGTTGCCTTTCTGTTGTGTTTTGCCAATTGTCGGAAGTGCCTGCGGCTCTTGCATAAGTCACACACATACAGACACACACACACATATACATATACACATTCTAGCTTACACATTCTGTATAACACACATGCACACAGGCAGTTAGACACTTTCTTTTGATACTTGAGCTTCCGTTTCCGCTTGCCTGGCTGCCCCCGAGTCCGTCCGATCCGTCAGCGCTGTCTGCTTATTTACTTATGCATAGCATATAACCTTAAACATAATTTTGTTTGCTTTTGTGCTGTTTTGTCTCCTTGCTTTGCATGCAATTCTCTCTAGCCCCACACTTAGCCAATCCACCCAGCCCAGTTACCCCACCGTTCTTAACTTGTTTTTTATCTAGCAACAAATTTTATCTATTAGGCGAATAAAAAAGGTTTTAAAACACGTTTTCAGAGACTATTTGAAGATCGGTAGATGTCGTGGGTAAGCTGAGAGCCGAATGCGGCTTTAAATCGTTTTACTTGCCTTCAATAAATCACAAAATTATTGTTAATTCTATTAATTAAAGCTCATCACATTTATGGATTGTTGAAGAAATTGAAATTAAGATTGCCGCACTTCGGTGGAGTAACGACAACCATATCCTGTTCTCGCAGCTTCTTGAGACGCTGTTGTATTTCCTTGAACTTATCATCCAGATCGACAGCGCGATTCGAAATGCGTATATATTTGAGAGCATAATGTAGATCTGACATCGGCAAATTATTGTCTTTGATAAACAGCAGCGCTTGTTCGGTCTCTAGCTCGGTGAACGTCTAAAAATATTGAAGGACATGAATATGACTGGACAATTAGCATATGAAACCACCGTTGTCACCTCCACAATCTCTGGAGAGTATGAGAAGGTCTCATCATTAGACATTAGCTCCTCTTGGTCCTCAGACATTGTGCCCGGCCCTGCTTTCGTGCGTTTAATATGTCTAACTTTAAATAATTTTCACTTGTAAAATGGATGATAGATTGAATTCAACAAATCTGATGATTTTTTAGGGCTGGCCCGATCTGGGGCGGGGCCTACTCTGTGCACACAAATCCCCAGTGCGGTCGAAATAGCCCGTCAGCAGTTGCCAAGCTGCCATGCAAGCCAAACCAAATCAAACCAAACCGAGCCAAACCGAAGTGAACCGCATTTCGCATTTGCAGTTTGGTCGGTTAACCGCTTTTATAGCGGATTTAACGCATTTTCAGTATTCTGGAACTGGCTGACCTTTTCCAGCCTCGACAATTCGCAAAACATTTGCAAATGTACCAAAACATGCCAAAATGTTTGAATCGAACAATCAACGTCAGCTCTTGCCTCTCTGCCAGCCATGCCGTGTGGCAACGTGCATTTTCCATTTTCCATTTTCCATTTCCCATTTGAAGCCACCGTCTACTCGTATGTCAACTGTGCATTCATTTCATACAGTTTAGTTTGTATTGCTTTGCCAACTGGCTGACATTGTGTGAAAGTTTTGACTTCTGCCTGTTGACCGCCTTTCAATATTATTTTGTTAGGCTCTGCGCCATAAGCTGCCAGTTTTGACACTTGAATATTTTTGATATACATGGGTACACTTCAAGCAATTTCATTAAGCATCAAAATTGAGAGAAAGAAATACAGTAGCCAGCGTATCGTATAAGGTAACTGTGCAAAGATATCAGTGGAATGGCAGATTCAGTTCGGCTTAGTTAAGGAAGCTGCTTGAGTTACTGCAATCTAGGCTGCACTCTAGTGACTGAGCTTCAGCGTTGCCTTTTCTTTAAATAAATAACTCACAACTTAACTTGAGCTTAGGATACAAGTCTATTTGATCGTGTTGACGCTGGGGATGATCGTTAATTTCTCAATGCTCCCTCGCAGTTCACTTGGCGGCGTCAGGTGTTGCCTACATAGAATTGATGACTTCATGGCTGATTCATGCTTCAACAGAAGCCTTGAGTGTAGCAATATATATGGCTGTTATAAGACCTAGTCTTTGCTTGAGTCAGCATTTGACTGGCAGACTTCCTTAGATCTACTGCAAAATCAGAACAACCTGAAAAACCAACAATCAACTGTCAATAAGATAGTATCGAGATGTTCAGCTAAAAATCTTATGCTTCATTAATTGATATAATATCTAAGTTGCCCTTTTAAAATCAGCTTCAACTAAGTTTTCTATGATAAAGAACCATGCCAAGTTATATCAGTATTTTATATACTAATACCACCTGTGGTTGGCGGGCGCTGGAATACCTTTACAGACTGTGTTGGCTTGTCGTAAGAGACTGCTGAGATAGATACCAATATTTTCAAGGCTTCAGCTTCTAGGCAAAATCTATTGCTTATGCGTTTATAAGAAAATAAAAATATGTTTTTCTTGATATCTAACAAAGCAACTAGCCACAAAATAAAGTTGCTAATGATACAACATCGACTAGAGAACGGAAACTACTTATGAAAATATGATATAATATAATATATATTGGGTACATAATATATTTATGGGTAATATTTTATGGGGTAATATTTTATGGATACATATTTCATATATTAAGTTATTAAATATATAATTTAATTAATTCAGAAGTGTACGTCAAAGACAGAAATATTTATTAGATATATTTATTGTTTATTATTTTATATATGCATGTTTTGGATTTGAAATTATTTTTAGAAAATCTCTTGTAGACTTCTCCCAGCATTTCTGTTGTTTTTTGTTCCCCTTTTCCGCAATGTTGATTCAGTTGAAAATATTTTCGTTCAATTGTCTGTTGTTATATGCAAAATATATTACGCATACTTTTGTTTATTTCCCTGCGTGCCATCATATTGCCTAGCACATTATATTGAATGTTCTATTATGTGTTTCGCATTGTTGTTTTTGATATATCTACAGATGCTGAATGTGTTTTTATATGTGCGTACACATGAGGCGGTGTGTGTGTGTGTGTGTGTGTGTGTGCACGTGGTTGGACATGTATGTACCAACATTTATCCATTAATTTGCGCAAATAAAGTTGCCACAACATACGCGCACTCACGCAACCGCAATTGAATCGGGACTGAGACAGCGAGAGGGACAGAGAGAGAAAGAGGGAAAGGCATGCTATCTCCGCTTTACGCAGCGAATATATGGATATGCTGAAAGGTAAACAATTTTAATTTATTTGCCCAATAATAAACCCATCAAATAGCATTGGGTGGGGACCGCACACACACAGCGACATTGCCTATTGAAATATACAAATCAAATATGTTAACACGCATACGCCCCGTTAACAGTTCATTGTGGGCGTCGCATCGATGTGAGTGTGCGGCTGTGCGTACGTGTGAATACATACACGTGTAGCCATACAATAATAGATCGCAAATTAAAGCGCATCGCTGGCAGGGGCAAGCATGTGCACACAAAGGTGTCTAATAAGCTTCAATGACAACAGCTGAAAGCGCAGGGAAGTAAATAACATTTAATATATATATATAAATATATATATATATGGTCAAAGTGGAGTATCTTAGCTTGAGAGCTTAATTAGCATGCACGTTTGCTAACTTTTATCAACGACACACATGGACCAGCTCTTTGAGTCTTTGTTAGCTGGGCAATCATGAATGCCAAGTGCAAACTTTTTGTCTGACAACTTTGCAGCTGCGATTAATTTGCTTGGCGAATCAAAGTGCAGTGGTCAAAGCTGGGGAAAAGACAGACAGACTTAACATGCAGATATACTTGATTCTTCTGGCAGCTGTCCTGTTCTCAGCTGATTGCAATTTTTAATTGTCAAACGCAGTCAAGTGACAAATGAACGCAACTCCTTCATGCAGAGCAGACGAAAGAAACGGTTCCGGCTGCAGCACCTTTAATGGCAACTGATATTTTATTAAAGAAATGCAACAGCTGAGGAATGGCTGGCAGCGCACGAATTGTTTTTCCCAAACGTTGAAAAATGTATGAACTGAAGAAACGAAAAGCGAGAGAGAGGAAGAGGAAAGCATCAACTGCAACTGGCCTCAGCAGGAGGCGGCAGCAGGGAGCGAATTGCCCACTTGAAGCACTTGACTGAAATACATCCGATTGTCATCGCCGGATGCCCAGATCTAAAATGCAAATGAAGCCGTCTCGCAATTTCATTTTCGGGCCTCAGCGAATAAAGCTGCTCGTTTGTTCGTAGCCGAGCGCCCGCTGCATTTAATTAGACATTAATATGGAATGCTTTTAACGCTTTGCTGCGGTTAAGTGAAAGTTCAGCTTAAGAGCTTAAGCCGGTGCTAAGTTCAATGCCTCCACGATGTCGGCGCGCCTTTGCATTTGCATTTTCGGGTAGTTCACTAAGACTGCCCCTGCCCCACACTGGCTTTATGGCTTTGTGTGTCTTTGGCCCCAGCGGGGTTGCAGCTAAACAATTTATTGTTTCAAGCGGATTCGTCGTGCCAAAATTCGATTACTGGTAATTGCCCATTGCCCAGGATGTCTGACAAAAGCGCAGCATAATTGAATTAAAAGCATGGCAAAGCTCAAAAGCCTCCCACGCCCACCAAATGATTAACGTTTTAAAGCGTAAAGTGATTAATCGGCGTGAGGCAACAACAGAGTAAGCCAAACACACACACACACACACACACACACAGATTACCATAAAAAACACCCAGCCTAGTTACATCGAGTGCAATAAAACTCGTTTGTCATGGTTTTATGAATGAGTTTCGCCTTTAATTGCACAGCATTAATTAATTTAATAGCAAACATATATATGCATTTGTTTTCAAACAATTGGAATTCGTTCTGTGCCTCTTTTTATGAGATTCCTTTGTGTGTTTTATTGCTTTCAATTAACATATATTTGCAAATTATTTTAATATTCTGATAAGTCAACTCTCTGTGCATTTTCTTTCTATTGTCTATGTTCGACTTTTCCTGTCTCTTTCCCGTGACTTTTCTCCCCTTCGTTATGTATCTCATTGTTGAGGTCTCTGTTTGCTCTCCCTCTTTCCCGTTTTCTTAACCGTCTCTCGCTCTAAATGTCTCTGGTTCTAACTATCACTCTCTCCCTCTTTCTCTCTCTCTTTATCTCTCTCTCTCTCTCGCTCTCTCCCTCTCTCTCTCTTGCTCTCTTTATATAACTCTGTCTTTATATATATAACTCTCTCTCGATCTCACTCTCTTTATCTCTGAATGCTCTCCCCTGCGCTCTCTGTCTTCCTCTCTCTCTCTCTCTCGCTCTCTCGCTCTCTCTCTCTCTCTTTATATATCTCTCTGTCTCTCTCTCTGAACTCTCTTTCTCTCTCCCTCTCTCTTTCTCTAACTCTTTCTATCTCTCTCACTCTCTCTCTCTGAATGCTGTCTCAAGCGCTCTCTCTCTCACACTCTCTCTCTCTCTCTCTCTCTCTCTCTCTCTCTCAACTCCCTCTCTCTCTTTTAATTGTCTCTCTCTCGCTCCGCTTCCATACTCTTACAAGCATAAATCGCCTTTCTATGCAATTCTCAAATACATTGCTTATCCCTTTAACAAATCTTCAACTATATTTATATATTTCCTACAACTTCACCCTATAAATTAAATTGGTTTCAATAACTATGCAGCACTCAACATACTTTTCTGCATTTGTTCTTCTTAGGCAGCCAAACGAATATATTTATTATCTGTGTGCCATGCGAACTTCAATTATCATTTAGCATTTATTTTTTGCTCTTGTGGTCCAACAAACTTTGCAAATCAAATAAACTTCGATGGGAAAAAATGCTGAAGCCGCCTGTCTGAGGCCGAGTTTAGAACTCGGAAAAAATGTGAATGGAACGGAAAACTGTTAAGAAAACTATGCCAACTAAAGATATGCACTCACGTATTTAGTGTGTATATGTATGCGGGATATGAGTGAGTGGGTTTTGCAGGCAATGTGCAATGCGAAATGGATGCGATTGAAAGTTTTCCAGTTGTCGGCAGTTTTTCGTGTTTGCTGTTGATTTAGCCATCAAACGAGGTTTGCTTTTTTCGCAACGCACACTGAACCTAGTGAGCTATGATTGAAATAGTTATTTCTGATAGCACTTCAGACAAGTACGTAACAGCAAAAAAACTCAAATTCTTATTGTTCTCCACCTTTTTTCGGGTTTTAGACATTGATAAGTTAACACACACAATGAACGCCGACAATTGCCGACCAACGTGCATTGAAATCTACGAGGCAATTCGTAAGAGCAAAGAGTACCGTTATATAATCTTTCGCCTCGTCTCCGACTCCGTTGTCGACGTGGAGACCGTCGGTCCGCGAGACAACGATTACAACCAGTTCTTGGAAGACCTGACACGCAATGGATCCATTGAATGCCGTTACGGTGTCTTCGATCTGGAATATAGTCACACGTGCGAGGTGACCAAACAGGAAATCAAACGGGAAAAGTTAGTGTTGCTCTGCTGGTGCCCGGACGATGCCAAGCCCAAGGGCAAAATACAATATCTGAGCTACCTGCGCCAGTTTATGGAACAGCTCAAAGGCGTCCAGTACTATAAGACTGTGCGCGAGAAACTCGAGTTGTCGCGCGATTCAGTGGAAGGTTTTTTTTGTCGAAAGAGCACAAGACAATGAGAGGCAGTGAAACATCATTATACATTTACGTTAACGAGCAATTTCTACAAAGTTATACGCATTGATTTATTCAAATTTAAAAGTTCAATTCATTAAAATTTATTGCATGCCAAGAGCGGGTGATGTCCTTTTCGAGATAAGAAAATCTGACGATTCCAGTTGCTTTGCATGAGTTTAAAAATTGTTTTTTGTAAAGCATTTTTAAAATAAAGTAACTTTTGAAAATCAATGCAAACGAATTAAGTTAAGCTGAAGTGCGAAGCTTCTGCTGCATCGTTACGATTTTTAGTTTTATATATATAAAATGTTAAATTTAATGCTTGAAGTTGCCTGAGAGTGGCGGAAATTGCTGCTGTTTATTTGTTTTGCAATTTACACCGCCAAGGCCAACTGATCGCAGGGCGTTGACAAGGACACTGCGCAGCAAGTCGCTTTCAATTTAGCAGCAAACAGCCAAAGTTTTCACTGCACTGGACAATAAGCAAGCGCAACTTTTGTGCCTCCGCACAAAAGTAGGCAACGAAAAGTTGGCCAAGGGATGGCCAGGGCGTGTCTAGCTGGCTGGCTGGCTGGCTGGGATATACTGCAACGCGCTAACATAAAAAGCCAAGTGGAAAAAGCAAAAGTTTCCACTGACACCGAACGCCACAAGTAAAAGGTGTTACTTGTCCTCAAAGCTGCACAGGAGAAGGAGCAGAAGCAGGAGCAGCAGCAGGTGCCAGGGCAGCAGTAGAAGAAGTTACATTATGCACCCGGTCCATTGTTTTGTAATGGAGAAATATTGTTTAGCATGCGGCGACAGAAGTAAAGAATGAACATTGACAACCAGAGCAAGCATAGAAGGGATAGAGCAGAGCCACAGATAGAGCCTGAGTCGCGCGACACGCTTACACGGTGCAGGCGAAGCAGAGGAGCTGCCCGAGCAAGTGGCACTGCCGCTTGGCATATTATGCATAATGGTTTTTGGTCTATTGACATTTATGGCATTGGACTACCGTAGCGCTGCACCGGCAAGACTTCGGCATCCACTTGGTATCGGGTGTACGCATTGCGAAAGTTTGTCGCGGCCAAAGTTAAAGTAGAGTTCCTTGTTTGAGGTTACTTAGCTGGCAATGGAAACGAAAGTTAAAAGCCATGCAATTGAAATGGATACGGGAAAAGCGAGCAAACGAGGCCAGGTGAAAGCTACTTATGTGGCAGAGCGAAGCTGCACACAAAATTATTTCGATAATAGCATTAAAGGAAATCCCGCAAACTCTTATGCAGCTTAAAAAGCTATAATAACTTTGTCACTTTTTAGCGAATTTCCAGCAGATGCAGATGAAAATTCATAGTAAACACCTTTTGCGATAGCAGTTAACTTACGCTGTCTAGCCTTAACTACCCGCTTAACTTTGACGACATTCAGTCTAATGCTAAAGCGAGTATTTAACCCACATCTGTGCTATGGGCAATAATGAAATCAATTTAAGTCGCAGTCATTATGGCTGTCAATTACGAGCTTGAGCTATATAAATCCTGGACATATCATTAAACTGCTCAAACAACAACATTATTCGTAATGATGAGATGCGGACACACACACACATCCAATATGTTGTTGGCCAAAGACCAATGCACTATCATGAAAAATGTATTCAATTTAAATTTGCCAATTAAGTTGGTCAGGGCAAGCCGGACCAGTGTCCAGTCGAAGCATTCGGCGAGTCCTGTAAATATGACAATTTTTCAAACAAACTAACCTAAACGCTGACAACGTTTAGGGGACAGCCACCTCTGTCAAATGGAAATTTGCAGCAGACAACATAGTCGTTTGTTTGGTGGCATAAAAAGCATTTTGAATAATAAATGCATAATTCCTAGATACAAAAGCGCGTGCCATAAATATTCCATGATAAATTATAGAAAAGCTATTAGGCCAAACAAACGATGGCTGGCGCACCCAAGTCCGGCCCGACTCCTGCTGCCGCTTCCTGCGTTCGCCCACAATTTAATGGCTGGACTGCGTTTGACATTTTTCAAATGAGGCTCTATGGAGCCCAAAACAGTTAGGCATGTGCATTCGTTGTGTGTGTGGGTAGGTGAGGCATGGTATATCAGTGCTTTTATTTATGTAAATTTGCGTAAATTACCATGAAAATATTTACGGTAAATAGAGCATTTTAAATATTAAAGGTAAATAGAGTTGGGGCTTAGTTTGTGGGGGCGCCTGCATTTGACTTTGACTCGAGCATTGCTTTGCGCTGCAATTTGAGACCGAGCGTCGCCCCTGCTGAGTTTGAAAAGAACTGCAACATACAAGTTACAGGCTTTGCATTTAACACAAATGTAAACACGAAACCGGAAACGGAAGCATCAGCACTCAGCACTGAATACCTTTGACGACATGCTGAACAGCGAGAACAAAAAAATATATATCAAGCAAACAAATGCAAATGCAAATCGAAAAAGAGCTGCAGGAGAGTCGACTCTTAGCCTACTCTTAAGGGTAAGAGAATGGTAACTGCTCTCACTCTCTTCTCTTACTCTCTTATATGGCCAATAGAGGCTGTCTTAAGACTTGATATGAGCTCGTAAATTATGCTAATAATAAAAAGATTATGACGAAATGGGGACTGAGTTGTTGCTTTAGATGTCATACAAGCTAAGCAACACAGGAACTTTTTAAGGTAAAATTTGATAACTGAAGTTTAACGCTGTCAATAAGTCCGAGACGAGTAAGAAGAATGAATTCTTTTAAAATAATACAAAACAAAATTCATATCTCAAATAGTTATTGTCTTATTGCTATTTCTGTTAGTATTGCTCTTATTTGGTCACCCTGTAATAAAAATAAATATATTTATGCAACCAGATATATAAGCAAATTTGTTGTTAAGTTTTTAAAAAAGAAAAGCTTACAAACTTTTTTCAATTTTAAATTAAATTCACTTCATTATTTAATTTATTTTTTTTTTAAATTGTTATTTAATTTGAAATAACTTCACTCTTCAGATTTATCTAGAATGCCAACAACTTCAAGTGTTGCAAACGGGCTGATAAAATTGTTGTACCCCAACACATCACAGAAGTTTACCTTAATCGTAGCTGGCAAAACGACTCAGCATGTGTGGGTGTGTGGGTGAGTCATCTTGTGGCTTAGCAGTTAAATTAAATATTCTTGTCAAATGCAGCAGTCACTGAGTCAGTTGCAAATGTTGCTCTAACAATTTCAAATATTTGCACCGCACTTCATAGATTTTAGGCTTTTAAATAATAAAATACAACAGCAGCAGTAGCTGCAGCAGCAGCAGCAAAAACTAAAAGAGAAATACTATACGAAGCGCTGAGTGCCATCAGGATGGAGACAAGGATGAGAAAGCCGGCTCCTATTTCGACAGCTTCCCGTGCAAAGTGTCTTTTTTGGTCGAAAAGTAAGTGCTCTACAGTTTAGATATTGTATGTGTTTCTCTACTCTCTGTGTGGGTGTGGATGTGTCTATAAGATGGGTGCTCTGTGAAACATTTGCTTGTGAAGTACGTACTTAAATTGCATTCAAGCTGAGCAGCATTCGTCCTCAAGTAATTTAAGTACATCGCACAAGATCTATACAAATGCTCCAAGCTCTGGGCTGAGTTGAGTTGTTAAATAAGTTGGCAGGACGTGTGAATGAGTTTTTAAATATGTGTCGAATTCATGTTGAAGGCCCGAAGTGGTTGCTGGCTGCTCTCTGTTTTTATGTGAGCCGAGACAAATGCTTGCAAAATTCATTGCAGGCTGAGCAAATTGTGTGGAACGAATGCAGGCGACAGCTAACCGCAGAGCTCGAGAGCAGAGCTGAGCCACTGACACAGACTAAAAAAAAATTAAGGATTACATTTTTTATATATCATTTTATATCTTAAGGTAAGTTTTTGTTTGTTCTACAATATCCAAAAACTGGCGAATGCCATATCAAATGCCCCCATTAGTTTCATTGTGATTATTGCCTATAAATCATAATGAGATATTTATATTTACGAGATATTTATATTTATATGGCTCACGTTAGAATAACATTAGCATAACACAATGAAATAGGCTCTGTTGATGGACACCATTAGATAATGCGTTGGGCAACACAAAAAGGCAATTAGTAGCAACCGCCACGCCCCTCTGAACGAGCCCCTACCAAGTGCAGCGGGCGCATTAGATCTAGCGTTGAGCGATAAAAACTAATATGCCCATTAAAACAAGAAAGGGCAAGTTTATTTAATTAAAGAAGCGAGCAGAAGCAGCAAAAAATATAAATATAAAGCCAAATGTCTTGTTCATTAAATTTAACCAAGCAAGAAAATAGATAAAAGTAAATATACAAATAAAGGAGGACATTCGGGAAACCCTTTTGGCCAATATCTATATACAGATGAGGCTCGTTCTGCCTATATGAGGCCATCGGCCAATTAGCCTCCGCCCAATGCCCAGCACAATGAGCAATATATTTCGCCCTGTCCAGCTGGGAGCTGGGACTTCAACAATTTCTCGCATTACTTCCGCTAAATTAATGCCGATTGTGGTGGACGGGCAGTTGGCGTCTGAGCGTCGCCAACTTGACAGCGCTCGCATTTGCCTGCAAATAAACAATGGAAAAGTTTTGAAAAGTTACCAAATGAAATTGAGGTAGCTAAATATAACAGGAAACAGACACTTACACACACACACACACAATTATTAAGTACTAATCTGTCAGCCATAAATATATATAAAAAATGGGAATTTTTAGAAGCTGCTTTGCTTTAATTGAATAACATTCGGTTTTAATGCGTATAAACGTTAATGTATTCCATAAATTTTTGCTAAAGCGCAGCTTAAGGCAACAGACAACGCAAAAGTTGAAAGTGGGCTAAATTATTAATAATATAATAAATTTAATGAAAGCTCCAATCCATCGCTGAGTTATAGATAATTTAAATATATTATTTTATATAGTACATTATAATATATTATAATTATTTACATGAGAAAATGTTGATATTATTAAA